CTCCCTTGTCTCTCCTCCTTCCCTCCCTCCCTCCCTTGTCTCTCCTCCTTCCCTCCCTCCCTCCCTTGTCTCTCCTTCCTTCCTTCCCTCCCTGTGGTTAGAATGCAGTATTGCAGGATAGTTCTGCCCATTGCCAGGAGTTCAATCCTGACCGGCTCAAGGTTGACCCAGCATTCTAGCTTTCCAAAGTCAGTTAAATGAGGACCCACATTGTTGGGAGTGATATGCTGATCTGTAAACTGCTTAGAAACGGCTGTAAAGCACTGTGAAGCGGTATATAAGTCTAAGGGCTATTGCTAAGGGCTGGGACTAGAATAAGCATGAACCAGGTCTACATCCCATCCAACTTGAACAGTTATTATATTTTAGCCTGATTTTATTTATCAGATATACAGGTAGTGCTCAACTTATGACCACAGTTGAGGCCAGAATTTCTGTTACTAAAGTGAGTTTTGCCTCATTGTTTGACCTTCCTTGCCACAGTTGTTAAATGAATCGCTGCAGTTGTTAAGTTAGTAACACAGTTGTTAAGTGAATCGGGCTTCCCCATTGACTTTGCTTGTCAGAAGGTCGCAAAAGACTGATGCCGTGACCCCGGGACACTGCAACCGTCATAAATAGGAGTCAGTCTGAATTTTGATCCCATGACCATGAGGTGGTAACTGTGAAAAACAGTTAGGAGTTACATTTTTCAATGCAAGGCTGGTGTTGGAGTGTGCGAGGCCTGGCTGCCACTGCCCGAAGGTAAATAGTAGGGCAGCTTCACCCCTCCATACTCAACCTAGCTTAATTTTTACCCTGGAGTGGGCGGTATCTTATTAAGGCTTTATTTTGGGGGTAACACTTATATTGGCACAGGTGTAAAACTCAAGACAGAATGGAATGGAATGGAATAGGATAGGATAGAAATTAGAATGAAAGAATGGAATAGGATAGATATTAGAATGAAAGAATATAAAAGAATAGAATAGAATAGATATTAGAATGAAAGAATAGAAATAGAATAGAATAGATATTAGAATGAAAGAATGGAATGGAATAGAATAAAATAGAATAGATATTAGAATGAAAGAATATAAAAGAATCGAATAGAATAGATATTAGAATGAAAGAATGGAATAGAATAAAATAGACTAGATATTAGAATGAAAGAATAGAATAGAATAGAAATTAGAATGAAAGAATAGAATAAAATAGACTAGATATTAGAATGAAAGAATGGAATAGAATAGAATAGATATTAGAATGAAAGAATGGAATAGAATAGATTAGATATTAGAATGAAAGAATAGAATAGAGTAGATATTAAAATGAAAGAATATAAAAGAATAGAATAGAATAGATATAATGAAAGAATAGATACTAGAATGAAAGAATAGGATAGGATAGAATAGATATTAGAATTAAAGAATAGGATAGGATAGAATAAAATAGAATAGAATATCAGAGTTGGAAGGGACCTTGGTGGTCTTCTAGTTCAACCCCCTGCAGGAAACCCTACACCACTTCAGACAAATGGTTATCGAAGTTTGGACTTACTTTTGGGGGAAGGTCGTAGTTTTGGGGGGGAAAACACAGTACCTTGACAGCATCTGATAAAGATGCATTTGAATTGTTTTTATTGCCTTCTTCCCAATGTTCTGATCCAAGAGACTCTCCGGGGCTTGTCAGCCTCCCGCCCGGCACCAGACACGCCAAGCCCGAAGCCTCTTGTAACATTCATGTTTTAATTAAAGAAAACAACCCGTTAGAGGCAGTTATTTTCTGCGGAAGAGTAATGAAGATTTATTTTAGGGAGTGACCTTCACTGGATTAGCTCTAGCAGTAATCAGTAGAATTAATAGAATAATCAAATTATATACAAACTCATAAATCATGGGGAACGGCGCTGTCAGAAGTTCGGCTATTAATGGGCCCCATTGTTGTGCTGTTGTATTAGAAATTGCAGCGGCTGATTTTTTTCCCTTCCTTTTTTCCCCCTGCCGCGATAGAAACTGAAATGGCATTTGAAGGCTGGGGAGGAGGGGGGGGCAGGGGGGGAGCAGAGCGGTGACTAGCAGGGCAAAAATTTTCACAACTGTTAATTTAGCTGTAATGTGGTTTGATGTCAGCAGGGCAGAGTTGAAGCGGAGTGCAGAGCAGGCGTGATCTTTCAGCAGAGGTGGAATTATTGGCAGAGACAGTAGCCAATTAATTAGAAGAATATCAGTTTAACTGTCTATTTAGGGTTAATAGTAATACTGAAGTACTTTGTGCTTGGGGCCCAGCCAAACCAGCCTCTCGAGTTTGGTGTATTTTAAATAAAAGAAGGGTGGGGGGAAATAAACATGGATAGGATAATGGGGTTGGTTGTCACAACAGATTTCAACTTTTCCAATTTCTTTTCAAAAACTGTCTATTAATGCCATAGGGACGCGGTGGCTCGGTGGCTAAGACGCTGAGCTTGTCGATCAGAAAGGTTGCCGGTTCAAATCCTTAGCGCCACGTAATGGAGTGAGCTCCCGTGACTTGTCCCAGCTTCTGCCAACCTAGCAGTTCGAAAGCATGTAAAAAATGCAAGTAGAAAAAAAGGAAGTAGCATTCTGTGCACCTTCGGCGTTTAGTCATGCCGGCCACATGACCATGGAGACGTCTTCGGGCAGCGCTGGCTCTTCGGCTTTGAAACAGAGATGAGCACTGCCCCCTAGAGTCGGAAACGACTAGCACATATGTGCT